CAAAAATAAAATATTAAATGCACTTTAACCTAAAAATGGTAAAAATCTAAAATAACGGGTTTTATTCACTAAATACACTCATTTATAGCACAAAAACTAGCTAATATGGGTTAAATCAGGTAGAAGTATCACTTTGAACTAACAATTTTGCAGTGTGCTGTTAATGTTCAAATTCTTGTGTTGTTTGTCTTGTTAAAAAAGAGTGGCAGGGAATGAATGTATTTCTCTCTTGTCTTTTAACACTATGAAAATGAACGTCTGATGCTTTTGCGGACTGTCTAAGTAGCTCAGTCTTCACATGATACTGAGGAAGAGTGAAAAAAGGTTTTAAAGGCAGAACAAAACAGCAGTGACAGGCATCAATCCACACATACAAACTCATACAATATACTGGGAACAGGAAAAATAACTCTTAAATCCGCAAATAAATGCCAGTGGATATAATAATACATATGGCTAAATAAAAATGATTTTAAAATAATAATAATGCCAGTTTATTGAAATTAATCACAGAGTTTAAAATGAGGGACTGAATCTGAAAAATAAATAAATAAATAGCCCATCGACCGAATTTTATATTCTCTTTTATAGAAGTCTTAAACTCCAATTTTGTTATTGATTAAAATTATTTACTTTTATTTAGGGAACCTTAAATTTATCAAAGGGGACAGTAAAGATATTTATATTGTTACAAACGATTTCTATTTCAATATTTTTTAACTGTCTATTCTATCCTGAAAAAATGCATCATGAATTCTAAAAAAATATGTACAACTGTTTTCAACATTGATAATAATCAGAAATGTTTCTCGAGCAGCAAAGCAGCATATTATACTGATTTCTGAAGATCATGTGACACTGAAGACTGGAGTAATGATAATAATGAAAAGTAATGAAAATAAATTACAGTTTAACAGATATTCACATAGAAAACAGCCATTTCAAACAGTAATAATATTTCACAACATTAATGTTTTTACTGTATTTATATAGTTTTAACTTTTAAACAGTAATGTGTGCCTGTATCATTCAAACTGTTGTTGCATGTAAACACCTCATTCAGAATACTGTATCACGTATATAATTTCCAAACAAAAGAGTTTGGAGTGAGTAGGAGATAGATATGAACATAAATTAGTATATAGACAATGCATTACTAGATTCTCTTGACCTACATTTTGCAATTTAGCTTTTAACAGCAGAAAATGAGCTGAATTGAGTTGATTGAGTTAGAGTGCACTGTAGAATGTCTTAGAATCGTCTTGAAAATGAAGTTGCAGTATGAAGGAATACTGCATTAGTCATGAAGCATAAAGGTTGTTTTCAGCAGTTCAACCAGAAAACAGAAAATGAGTGTAAAAGTGGCTTGGAAGAAAACAAAATATTCCCGAGCAGGAAGTCCAGGCGGATAATTATGCACGTATAGTGTGAAAATATTGGTGTCAGACAGTGCTGGCATGCTGTGTTTGTGTTTTAGGAAGTGGAGGTGTCATTTGTCCATATCAAGTCTGCTGCTAAGGACCCTAGGCCACGGATAATAGCACTCCCGTGCAGCCCTTCATATCTAATGACTGTAAAACATGTCTCGTATGAGTGCAGTATGAGCACCTGGTGTGCTCCTGTTCACACAAAACCAACGTGACATATGTATTTATGTATTTGTGCGCCCCACGGAAGAATCATGAATCAAAAGATCAGGTGGAGAGTAATAGTCATGTTCACGCACCATCAAAGAGGAAAATTCCTCATGTATAAGGTAACTGCTTCGGTCAACACTTCATTGTTCACAGCAACACAAGCTGCGGAGAAGAAGCGACAGGTAAAAATAACTTGTTTACATCACAGTGGCATTTAATAAAATCATGTTTTTTGAAAACGGACAACCATGCAAAATATATCATTAGGCTCAGTGTGGCTCATCGTCTATTAATGCATTTGATTATAATGACTTGTACTGGATGCTGTGCAAACACACAGTCAACTTTTAAGGGTCGAGTGTGTGTGCGTGCGTGTGTGTGTGTGTGTGTGTGTGTGTGTGTGTGTGTATGTGTGGGTGTGTGGTTGAGTTAATCAAAAGTGGGCTGGAAATAATGAATGTGTGTTTGTGTTGCCAACTGAAGTCACAACATGCTAAAAATAATTTTAGTCTGTAATGCAGGCTGGCTAAGCAGCACTGAATTATGAATTATACAATTTTCCTTTTTCTTTTGTTATTTTGCTTCCATTTTATTTTTAAATGGAACATAGGCCAAAAGGCCATACCACCATTTATTTGTAAACAGAACAGAAACAGAAAGCACGTAGCATAATTAAGCTTTAAAAAATAAATGGACGATTTAATATTATTGTACTCATTCTAATATCTATTTAAGTTTCAGTCTTGCTGGACTAGTTAAAATGTAGGCTAAGTTGTCATTATTTACTCACCCTGTTATTCAAACCGTATGTCTTTCTTAAGATCTTCTTCAATTGTTCCGTGAAAGACTGTTTTGCAGTTATAACGAACAGGGAGCTTTGTGTGAGGGAAAGACACAAACGTTAATTGTTATTCACTAAAATAAATGATTCTGTTTATTCGTTTAAAGGGGTCATATGATGCGATTTCTAGTTTTCCTTTCTCTTTGGAGTGTTACAAGCTCTTGGTGCATAAAGAAGATCTGTAAAGTTGCAAAGACTAAAGTCTCAAATCCAAAGAGATATTCTTTATAAAAGTTAAGAGTCAGCCACACCTACCTAAAACGGCTCGTTCTAACACGCCCCCACATGTCTACCTCACTATGTGGGAAGATTTGCATAACACCTCCCAAATGTTCACGCAAAGAAAGAAGGTGTAACTTTTATTCTCGCTGTAGTATTGTTGTTGCCGCCGCCATGTTGTGAAGACGCTGTGTGTTTTGTTGTGAAAGCGAAACTTCTTTGTTTGGTCTTCCAAAAGAGGACGATATCCGCTTCGTCATGCCTGGAGCTGATCCGTGCTGGTCGCTGAGGAAATACATCAACTTCGCTAAGGCATAGAGGAGAAACAATAATGTACAGTATGTGGAAAATAATGTGTGTTTTTTTTTTTACTTTAAACCGCATAAACACATTTTATTACACCAAATACACCAAATAATGTTATTTTTAGCAGCATCATATGATCCCTTTAACACGACGAGTTTACAATGATTCGTTCACGAACCGAGCCGATTCTCCAGTTCAGCTCACTGACTCATTGGTCGGTTCGCAGTGGTTAATGGCTCACTGGAGGGAAGAATAGGCCTATCAATGAATAATATCGACCTTAATTTCGGTCTACTTCTCACACAAAGTGTTCGAACGAATTCAGAAGACGTATCATAGTGCATGAGTCTGGTAGACAACATTAATGTCACTTTATTGTGATTCTTAAGCTTCCCTGTTCATGAATGAATTGCGTGCAAAACATGTTCGGATCTTCAGAAAGAAAGTCATAGGGGTTTGGATGACATGAGGGTGAGTAAATGATGACTGGGTTATGGTTAGACCTTTTGTTACATGCTGTAATTATAGACCAATAAAAACTTTGACAAAAAGTTTACAGTACAATTTTATATTTCAAAGTAGAGACCGATTTTCCTGGAAATTAAGCATTAAAACTGCGCCCACTCTATAAACACTCTTTACAGCAAAACTATAGGTAACACTTTATAATACATGACGGTAATGATTTCATTACATAAGTTAGCTTAATGCTTCACAGATGATTAGTTAATTGGCATTAAAGTTTGATGCTGTATATATAAAGGTTATTTAACTATATGTTTAGCATGATGATGTTTGTAAATGACTTATTGATGAATGGTATGTTATAAAGTGTTACTAGGTTACAGCACTGTAGTTTTGTGTTGCTGCTGGTGAAACAATAATCCTTTACATTAGCAGCCACTGCTTCATGCTCTCATACACGCTTTAATGAGCACAGTCTACGCCTACCTGAAACACACTGACCAATAGGATCGCTGATGGGCGTGGCCGCGAGCCGTCTGGCCAATAGGAATATCGAAGGGCGGGGCTGTCGGAGAATTTCCTCATGGATTTGCGGTCTTGGAGATGTCATGTTTTGAGTTGTGGGAGTGTGTTTAATTTGGATATTGTGATCGACAGTGCGGTGATGTATGAACGGCTTTCGCTTATTAAACTTATTTAATTCTTCTTTGCTGACATCACTAGCACATTCCCGTGTGATCATCGCAACTTCATTTCTGCCAACTTATTATTTCTCAGTTATGATGAATGTGTAAACAGTCCCGCGGTAGCTTCACCCTGAGCGGGGCTCACTGACGGGGGTGCTTTTGGATGGACACTTGCGGATTCTTCAGGGAGAAAAGCAGGGTTATGCCAGCATGTCCCGGAGGAAACAGGCTAAGCCTCAGTATGCTCTCATCGGTAAGTTTTCTGAACTAGCATGCTGAGGGCGTTTGATCAAAGCGCGCGAATTTAAGTTTGAAAAAAGTACGGAATTTGTGCAACATTTCTTTCTTATCCACAGATTTGAATGCAAAGCAACTACTACAACTCTTTATTCTCTCTCTGTCTGTCTGTGTGTGTGTGTGTAAGAGTGAGTGTGTGTGTGTGTGTGTGTGTAAGAGTGAGTGTGTGAGTGTGAGTGTGAGGGTGTGTGTGAGTCTGTATACCTCAAAACATAGGCAATACTAGTCCCACATTTTAAACACAGTTGTCTTATTGCATGAATTTCACCATATTACAAAAAAAATTTACATTCCATTAAAATTGTGACACCCAGAAAATAACATAATTGGTCATTTTACCTACATGGTGGGAAAACAAGTTCTCGTTTTGAAATTCCTAATTTTTTACAAAAATTGTTGCTTCTGTCAATCATTTAACTCTATTACCAAAGTTTTTTTTAGAAATGTTCAAATAATCTCTTATTTTTCTTGAATTAATGGGAAATAAAAATGTATCAACATCTATAAACTAACATTTTGTCACAAACTAGGCTAGTTAAATCTGCAACTACTGATGAAAACAGAGGCAACCCATCAAAGGTTGGTAGTGATCTGTGTAGTAATCAGTCTTTGAATGGTAACACAGTCAGTGAAACAGCTGATGGCACAGCTCATTTAAAAAATCCTGCACAATCTCCTGCTTCAATTACAGATGGGATTCTAAACAAACTTGAAATGCCCCATAAACCAAACAGCTTTAATATGTCTGCTCCTTGCTCCTTGCCTAGTATTGGGGCAATTGTGGAGGACCTGAATGCTTTGACTGCCCTAGCCCAGCATAGGAAAGCCAAATCCCTCAATGTAAGTGTATGTGAACACAAGAGACCATCTGAAGACTGTATATTAAAGCACAAATGCAGGTTCTGTGCCAAAGTATTTGGAAGTGATAGTGCTTTGCAAATACACCTGCGTTCTCACACTGGAGAGCGACCCTACAAATGTAACATATGTGGAAATCGGTTTTCCACCCGTGGAAATCTCAAAGTCCATTTCCAACGTCACAAGGAGAAGTATCCTAATATACTAATGAATCCTTATCCGGTTCCAGAGCATTTAGATAATGTCTCAGCCAGCACAGGTATTCCATATGGCATGTCTCTGCCTCCTGAGAAGCCTGCTCTCAACTGGTTGGATAGTAAACCTTTAGTGGGTAATTCACTTGGCTTTAGGCTGCCATCATCTTTGCCAAGTCTTCTACCCATCATTAAAAAAGAGGAGGAAGGGGTATCAATAACTAAACATCATAGTCCTGTTGTCAGTGAGGCGTGTGAAAGACGTAATGGACATCAAGAGGGATTTGGTTGTAGCCCTCTTCTAATTTCAAATGAGAAATTTCAAGAGGTTACACAACCCTTGAGTGTTGCTACCTTACTAAGCTCCTCAGGGGAGGGTTCAAGAGATGACATTAATACCTCGGTCAATACAACCTTAATAACCTATCTAAAATCGGAGCAGCTTGAAACCAAATTTCTTTTTGGAAGTCTTCCAAATCCTCCTGGAGCATCTGAGACTTCAAAGCTGGAGCAGTTAGTGGAGAACATTGACAAGAAGTCTACTGACCACAATGAGTGTGCAATCTGCCACCGGGTTCTTAGCTGTCAAAGTGTCCTTAAAATGCATTACCGCACCCATACCGGAGAAAGGCCATTCAAATGCAGAATGTGTAGACGGGAGTTTACAACCAAGGGCAATCTCAAGACACACTACAGCATTCATCGTTCCATGACACCTCTTAGAATACAGCATTCATGCCCCATATGTCAAGAAAAGTTTACAAATGCAATGGTTCTACAGCAGCATATCCACATGCATATGGGTGGTCACATTCCTAATGTCCCATTGCACGATAGCTGTGCAGAACTCATGGATCAGGATGCTGACTCTGTAGATGGGACCTTGGAAGAGGATACCTTGTCCAGTGAGATCATGGATGTTATGGAAGGGGCATCCGATTCAAAATACCCAGCCTCTTTACTGGACAGTCTATGTTCTTCACCTGCTTCTTCTGAGTTTGCCATAGTAACTGGGACAGAGAGTCAGATTGCAGTTTCGAATGTGGAAAATTTGTCAAACGTCGATAAGTTGATTTTGGGGAATGAATCGGTGGATGGAGACTGCTCAACCCTGAGATTATCTTCACTAGATAGTGACCATGAGAGTGTAGGGAGAAGTATTTCGGCCATCACTGAGACGACACCGTCCTGGAACCCATCCTCCCCCAATGGCTCTGCTTATGAAAGGCAAGGATACACTACAACTGACAGAAATCTGAAATCCGCTGAATCAAAAATCTCAAGCCTACAGCCAAATCTTACAGTGTCTAGATTACTTGATGGAACATCTGGAGATACACCAAAAGATAGCTTGATCATGATTTTTCCATTTAATGAGTATGGATCCCTAAAAAGCAATGTTTGTGATATCTGCAACAAGACATTTGCCTGTCAAAGTGCTCTGGATATTCATTATCGAAGTCACACCAAGGAGCGACCATTCATCTGCACTTCGTGCAACAGAGGGTTCTCAACCAAAGGTAACCTTAAACAGCACATGCTTACCCACCAGATGCGAGAGTTACCTTCACAGTTTTTTCAGCCAGCAAATCAGATCCTGATTTTTCCACCAAACCAGTTTCTACCCTCCATGGAACCAATTATTCCCTGGAAAAGGATTGACCACAATGGGCTCATCAGAAAAGATCCTAAAGATTCACACACAGGTATAGTTAGCTCAACAGCTTCCATATTGCCTGCACTTTCTACACCAAAATTAACACCAACACCACTTCGGAGAACAGCTAAACAGCACTTCTGCCACACTTGTGGGAAGACCTTCTCTTCTTCAAGTGCACTGCAAATTCATGAAAGAACTCACACTGGTGAGAAACCCTTCGCCTGCAACATATGTGGACGGGCATTTACCACTAAAGGAAATTTGAAGGTACACCAGTTAAAAGTATTTAAAGATGTTCAGTCACTTATTTTGTATAGATTCAGTTGTAGCATTCCAAATACCTCATAACCAATAACCTACTTGCATTTGGCATGTTGTTTTCTATCTAGGTTCATATGGGAACTCACATGTGGAGCAGTTCTCCAGCCAGACGAGGTTGCAGACTTTCTGTTGATGGTCCATTCCTTAGATCCAATTCCGAGCAATTTCAGGACTCTTCCCCAAAAGATGTTGTGGGTAAAGTGCGTAACGGAAATTCCTTAGGCCTCTGGAGCCAATATACCTCTCTCACTAGTGGTTTGGGTGCAAGGACAAATGAAATACCTGTAATTCAAAATGGTGTCATACCTCACCTGTCGATTTCTGCTGGGCAACTGGAAAACATAGAAAAATTGCAGCTCAACAGAGCTTTACCTTGGCTCGAGAGATTGAGCGAAAATGGTGCAACCTTTAATTTCCAGCAATTGGTAGAAGACAATAAAACAACAGCGACAATTTGAATTTAGTCTTTCAGGGTGCACGCCTGTACATTCAAATGTGATGCAATTTCATATGCGTGCTGTTTCTTTAGGAGTTTTGTACAAGTGTACCCTATGTAGTGACATTAATACAAATTCTGCTGTTGGTTAATGTTCCCTAGTTAGGACAGATCTTCACAACTGAAGTAGTGTTGATTGTATTTTATAAATTAATTTGATGCTTTTTGTTGTTTTGCCGAAGAACATTCTAAGTATTGTTAATATGCAGCTATCATCTTTTATTTTACAATTATTATTTTTTTTTTTAATAACTGAAGGTATTTATCCAGTACATTTGTTAAACTCTTTATAGGATTTGTGATGAGGTACGTTTGTATTATTTAATGGATAAATGAATCCCTATTTCTTATCAAAAACTACTTATCAGTCAGTGTTTCACATTAATATATTTTGTGCTTGAATTATGTGTTCTTTTATACATACAGTATTTAGATTGTAAATGTAAACATTAAACAATTTTACTTAAAAGTTGTACCATATGAGTGTGTATACCTTCAAGCACCTGTCTCCTCTTTCATTGATTTACCTTTAACAGAGAAATGATTCTTTCCCTACTTCCACACAAGCAGAATTCATGCCCTTTCTCTACTGATAAAAAATCTAGGTCACCTTGTCCTCTGCATTTACATTTCAATAAACTTACCAATGATAACACATTGTGTTAATACGCAATGATATGGAAGATGATACTTCTACAACCAAACAGAATAATAGAGGCTATTCATCGAGCCGGTACGAATCATCAGTTCTACCTCATGTCTGTAAACCACACGGACAGATGGTCAGCAATGGTTTAGCGTTTGTTGTCTGGACTCTGGAAGTCTGTTTAATAGGTGGTAAAATGTGCTATTATCAAATTGTGAATGTTGTGGTTATTATTACTGTGATCATTGTCATATGGCTAATGTGCTATGATATGGCTACTTTTATCATTGTTTTTGCCATCGCTGCCGATCATCTGCATGCATGTCCAGGCCATATTTTACCCCAATATCAAAAGAAAGTGTAAGACATTATACAGTAAGTTGCATAAAGAAAGCAGGTCCTTTATTTTTCTGTGGTGTGTTATTTTAAAGAAAATACAAATTAATATACATAAAAAAGTCATTCTCATACTGCAATGCAAAATAATAATGATACATCAATAAAGTAATATGTATTTATACATGACAGTAGTATTTGTTGCAGTGCCTTTAATTTGTAATATAGTTACAAAAAATCTATATAACAGAAAGAAAATCATTTAATAAGAATTTAAAAATTAATAATGTGTTGAAGTAGAGACAATTTAGGGTTAAATGTGATTTGAAAATGTTACAAAAATCTTAATGATTCTAAAAATAGGTTATGTTTTCCTTATGCAAAATATAATTTCTTATTTCTTTTCATTTTGAAAAGAAGTGCAGCATGCAATAAATATAAGTAGCACTACACACATTTACATGTATTTTATATTCAAAAATATTTTTACTTAGGGACTGCATTGTGTTGTGATAGCAATATTACAAGCATTTCAGACAGACATTAGATTAAGTAAAAAAAAGAACAAAATCAATGTGATTGAATCTTGCTGTATTAGAACTTATTTGGCTGAATTAGGTTGCAAAATATGTGTAACCCTTTCCCATGTTTTAAAGGAAGAATATGTATTTATACATGACAGTAGTATTTGTTGCAGTGCCTTTAATTTGTAATATAGTTACAAAAAATCTATATAACAGAAAGAAAATCATTTAATAAGAATTTAAAAATTAATAATGTGTTGAAGTAGAGACAATTTAGGGTTAAATGTGATTTGAAAATGTTACAAAAATCTTAATGATTCTAAAAATAGGTTATGTTTTCCTTATGCAAAATATAATTTCTTATTTCTTTTCATTTTGAAAAGAAGTGCAGCATGCAATAAATATAAGTAGCACTACACATGTACATGTATTTTATATTCAAAAATATTTTTACTTAGGGACTGCATTGTGTTGTGATAGCAATATTACAAGCATTTCAGACAGACATTAGATTAAGTAAAAAAAAAAAAAAGAACAAAATCAATGTGATTGAATCTTGCTGTATTAGAACTTATTTGGCTGAATTAGGTTGCAAAATATGTGTAACCCTTTCCCATGTTTTAAAGGAAGGACAGAGACATGAAAAACAGAGAATGACACAAGAGCCGTCGAACTGTCCACAGGCCGGACAGCTTTTTCTAAGAACTCATCACAGAGGAACAAAACAGTGCTTTTCCAATCATCACATATTTCTGTTCAAAACTGCTGACATCAACCACTGTTTACAATGCAAAGAAAGAATTTCCTGTGTAAGCATTTTGCCTGCGATCATCACACTTTTGTTGGCCTGACAATGGAAATATTCAGTAACAGAGCAACGGCCAAATCTCCAGCAGGGCTTAAACGTATCCAGCCCAAACTCGACTATTGATAACACTGTGATTATGGCATTATGTGAGGCATCTGTATGGCTCAGATCATATCTGATCATAAGCGCTGTGTGGACTCTTTGATGACCATGGGATCAGTCAGTGCTGCTGTATAACAGAATAACACGCACGGGACAGCTGCGTTTGCCATTTTTTGATTGTGACACACAGAGGGGACTGTATCCCAAATATGGTGGTACTAGAGTAGCTTTACTGAGCCTTTGATTGATATTATCATTTAGCTCTTTTCAAAAACTCTTGATTAATTTTCATTAAATTATTTTATGTTAATGGAATTAAGTTGGAGTGAATTATTCAGTAGTTAGAATGCTTTTATTATTACTTAATGCAGTTTGATATTTCCCAGTTCAGCTTTAGTCTTTTAAAAACATTGGTCACACTGTCCAATTCTCACTATTAACAAACCATTACCTACACTTTTACCTCAATGAACTTCTTATTCACTGCTTATCAATAGTTAGTAGGGTCGTTGTTAAATGTAGGTATTGGATAGGATTATGGATGTAGAATATGGTCAGGAGAATATGTGCTTTATACTAATAAACAGCCAAAATGTTCATAATATGCATGCTACATATATTAAAATGTTACCAAAACTTTTAGGGTCAAATGTGAAATTTGAATATTAACTACACTTTTACTTAGCGATCATGAGTGACCTTTGCATATCTTGGCAGCACAATGTTGAGTGGTTGCTGAGTTGTTCTTGTTGATCTCTTGGACGTTGAATGTCTCTGCAAAAGGCTGCAATACACTACAGAACTTTTAAAATCACAGCAGATTTTAAAACACCATAAACTTGCCGGTTTTGTAAAGCATTACATGGGAAAAATTGGGCATCATACAGTACACTAAAGCAGGATCACACACTACCAGACTTCCAAACATAACTCACACAGAAACATGTGCATTGTTGCTAGAAGTCGTATGACAAATGAAAACGATGTGTTATAAAATCAGTTTAGTATCAAACATGTCTGATATCCTCTGACTCGATATGATCGAAGTCTGAAGCTAAAAATCATCTCTGACAATCAGCCTTAAAGGAATTACTTCACCCAAAAATAAAAAAATGTACTCACCCTCAGGCTCAGCTCTCGAACAGATTTAGAGAAACGGCTCATGGCATCACTTGCTCAGCAGTGGATGCTCTGCAGTGAATGGGTGCCGTCAGAATGAGAGTCTGATAAAAACATCCCAATAATCCACACCACTCCAGTCCATCAGTTGACATCTGGAGAAGTGAAAAGCTGCATGTTTGTCAGAAACTAATTTATCATTAAATCATTGCTTTCACAAATGGAAAAAGTCATCTCGTCTGAATCAGGAGAGAAATATGCACAGATAAAGCACAGTTTAGAAACTAAAACAGTCCAAATTATGGACTCCTATTTTAGCCAAAAGTTTAAAATTAAAATGTCTTAATGATGGATTTGTTTCTTACAAACACTCAGCTTTTGTCTTGACAAGACGCTAACTGATGGACTGGAGTGGTGTGTATTACTTGTGGATTACTGTGATGTTTTTATCAGCTGTTTGGACTCTCATTCTGACGGCACCCATTCACTGCAGAGCATCCATTGCTGAGCAGGTGATGCTAAATTTCTCCAAATATGATGAAGAAACAAATTCATCCACATCTTGGATGGCCTGAAGGTGAGTCAGTTTGTAATTTTTGGGTGGACTGTTCCTTTAAAGCATTGGGAGGTGGCCATTAATGTGTTCTGGATGGTTGCTAGGGTGTTGTTGACTGTTACTACTGTATGACGTAACCAAACGTCTGATGTCTGAGTTAAAAGTGACCACTCATATCTACCATCAAGTTCTTGTACCAAGATATAGCTGAGTCTCAATATTATGTAGTTGCTAGTGTGTTCTAGCTGGTTGCTAGGGTGTTATGGCTATTTTTATAGGTTGTTTCTTAAAATAATTTACCCCAACTCTCTATACTATGATGAGATCTCATTCACTTCTGTATCACACATGGGTGATTCTATAATTGGAGATACATTTGGCATTGCAGAAAGTTAAGAAAAAAATATTTTCATTAACAGATTTTTTTTCAGTATCTTATTGAAAACATATTTAATTTGAATAATTCAGTGCTTGCCAAACACAAGTTACTTCCTTTTTTTTACTTTTAATGAAAAAACAGATGTCTCTATGGTATTGTTTGTCAACTCTGTTATGGACAAATTATTATTATTGTTTTTTGTGAAAATAGTTCATAAACAGAGTTGTCCCTTTAAGTAACAGAATTGTAAAGTAACAGAATTGACAGAATCATCCGGTGGACTGTCAATTCTGTTACCGCATTGTCAGCATTGTTACTCTACCTTGGTAACAGAATTGACAATTTTCTTTCTTTTTTGCCAAAAACTCCACTTGCTAGCATAAATGCTAAGAGCACATGGCACTAATGAAATCATGATTAAAAGACTTTTAAATAACACAAAGTGTGATCAATGAAAAAAATCTGTTTTCCTTTTGATATTGTGGTAACAGATTTGACACTTTATAAAATAACTCTTGGTGTAAGAACTTTTAGATTAAAATATTTCCTCAGAGTGAGCACGCAGACTTTTCATGCTTCAGATCTTAACACTGAGGGAAAGTGTCATCATTTCCTGTATCTTACAGAGTTGTGGGAGATAATTCCACTGATTTAAAGGCAAAATATGGCACGGTAACAGAGTTGACGCAAGATTTACGGACACACATTTTTATAAGAAAAAAGTTTTTCGTT